AAAAAAAAAATTGAATTTGCATTATAGCCCTTCTAACTAAGCACCAATATACTTCTAAACATGCATTAACAATGATTTACTACTCATTTAGAAGTTAATTGATGCACATTAACATATTCAGTGATGCATAGTTAGAGGGATGAAGACATTCACTTCTGTAACAAAGTACATCCAAGATCTAAAGTATATGGATAGTTGTGATTAATCCCTACGTTCTCATTTTATGAAAGTTCCCTCTTGAACCACTCCACACACACACACACACACACACACACACACACACATATATATATATATATATGAGTGTGTGTGTGTGTGTATGTATGTGTGCACATACATTACAAGATATTCTATGATTAGTTGTTCATACCCAAAGGATCACCAACAGCTATTTGCTTCATTAAATGAAGGATGCTATCCTGTCAATGTGATTAGGTAGAAGACAAAATCAGACACTTTAAAAGAATATTTAAAGAAAAGAACAAAAGGTCTGTGTGCATGATATGTCATAAAGAACGATTACCCTTTGAACAATATTTGTCTGCAGAACGGACTGTAAACTGGGAAAAATGGCATGACCAAAACTTGAAGTAGCATCAGAGAGTGATGCTGTTGATATGGAAGATAATGGAGGTGACGATATGGAAGACAGTGGACCCATCACCTAAATATCCAAAAACAAAAGCCTTCTAAATAACAATTAATACCGGTTTACATGCGTTTATATAAGGAAACATAGAGATCCATACCCGACATAAGATTCCATAGTTTAGGGTTCTATTATTTACTCATATCACTTCATCTCTTATACAAATGCATATGATTTTGTACATGAGGCTTTTTCGGATAACAAATATAATGTTATTGACTCGTATATGCTGCAGTTGAATGATAAACTCATATCCATAATGTAACATAAGAGAAGGTGGCAAATCAGAATATAATGATGATATAATGACCCATATAAAATTAGTTAACACTCGTGTAAAAACCCAGTGTTATGGTCAATTTCAATAAAAGTTTTAACGTGCAATATTTACATTACAAAGTAAATTTTAAGACCAACCTGCATGCTATGGCTTTTCTGTAGTATAGGAGCTGGAACAGCCTGCTGTGGAACAAAATAAAATATTTAATAAATGCAAAATGGGCCATTCAAAGTAAAACCTGAATATTGACATTTACCACCTCAACATTCTCTGAAGTGACCTTAAATCTTCCTTTTTGCTGAACAACTTGATTCTTGGCCTTCTCATCGGCTTCATCACCATTAACTGGATAACCGGGAAAAAGAACACACAAAGAAACAGTATAGTAAGCAACAAAAGTTCATCCATTGAAGTTCACACCAATGGTAGATACATAGAAGTTTACAAGTGTTGACTTGCCTGATGTTTTTGAGCCTTTGGATATTATTTCTCCATGTACAGACTCTGAAGGTTGCTGATTGGCTGGCCCAGCGCGGGACTGATTTTGGACTTTATCACTAGTTATTACAAAGAAAAATAAACTCGTCAAAGAAGCCAAGAGAAAGTTTAACCAATGTTATGTAAGCCAACAACTTCAAAAGTCAAAACACTTGAAAATATAACCGAACAAAGTACTTATATCTCACTTCAATTTGCATCTAAAAGGAGAAATCAAGAACTTTATATAAGGATTAAGGAGGGGTAAATATGAAAAGGGGAATGCACAACTCTTTGGTTAGATATGAAATTATAGTGGCCACAGGATTATTCTGTATGGTGGAAACGAAACGTAGGGAGTGGATGCATCTTCCTTGGCTATACTCTCAATCTTCTGTACCCTTAAAATTATGACGAGTAACTACTAATAAGGACTAAAACTGCCCAACACTTTCAGAGTAACTTGTCAGGAATAACAAGTGTTTTTACCATCTCGTCCAGCAAAATTAAATGAACCTCTATGATTTTGTTCATCTGCAAAATGATTTAGTTTTCTTCCTAATGGAGCATATTTTTAGAATATGTCAATCAATTCATAGTAGTGATGAGAGAAGAAACATGATCTTATGTTCAAGCTATCTCATTCCAGAAGCGCAAACAGTACCCTGTTGAATTTCCGTTTTCTTAGTACGGAAGAGATTTTTTATTGTACTTGCTTGGAAACAATGAAACTAGATTTATAAACAAAAGTCCTAGAAAATCACCTAATAAGGAAAGGACCCAAAAAAAAAAAAAGAAAAAACTTTAACATTGGAGTTAAAACCTTATATACTTACATCAAGGAACACAATAAAAAGAAACGAAAAATTGCAAAAAAAAATTAACCTTGCCACAATATGGTAGAAAAATATAAAGGTTGGAAATTTTTCAAAAAAAAATAAAAAATTAGAAACACGATAAACAATATAAGTTTGAAACACTATATGAGCTAAAATAAATAATAATTTTATGCATTCTAAATAATGAAGCTTGTCTTATATGAAAATTTATGCTCAAATTCGCAGAGAAAAAGAACAGTAACAAAAAAGCTAGGCAATTTAGTTTTACTTGTTTACTTCAATTAAGAAGAGCATAAAAATATTCTGTAATATATTAAAATAATGCCTAGAGTTATGCTGTTTCTATACAAATTCAGAACATAGATGTCATCGCATAATACCATATAGGCACAATACAGAGAGCAATAAGTGCCGTAGTCAAGACAAAACATCATACCCAGAATTAGTGGGGGCTCCGTCTGTTAATCTTTTGTTTGCCTCCGCTTCAGCCTTTTCTACTAGGTTATTGTCTGCATGATTCTCAGAACTAAGAGGCATGTTTGTTGTTGGTTGCTCCAATGTTGTCATGACACTCGCATCATCTTCAGACTTTTCAATTTTAGATCTAACAGGAGAAAAAAAAAAAGAAACAAAATGTTTAATAAGGATTCACTTGTGAATATAGGTTTACTATATGAATAAGGTTCAATGAGAGGAAACTCTGGAGAAATGTAAATGCTGCACTATGCATGTTATAAACACAAATACAGCAATCTATATCTATATCTATAATCTATAACTCCCTTAAAAGTATGAGTAGTTTCTTGAAACTTTTGAAGTGCCAAGAATGCCCTTACTAAAGATAAGTTTTAAGGTTATGAATGTAATTTTCTTATTAATGTTAAGAAGTTACAACTAACAATATTTGTTAAATTTTTAAAATTTCATTTCTTAATTTACTTATATTCATTATCTTTTATTTTTTATACTTAATTATATCTTAAAGTTTTTACACATATAAAAAGATTATCTACGCAAATTGATAAATTTTAAATAAATAATATATTTTAAATTATATTAATCATAATTAGTTTACATACGACCTATGACGTTAGGTTTCAGTTTGGTTATTTTAAAGGTAGTTTTTAAATGTAAGAGAAGATATTATTTTAAATAAAATATTTTTATTTCATAAGTGTAAAATATATATGCATCAATGAAAATACCATCTATAATTTCCAACTATCATATTATTACTACAGAAACTTTTTGTAATAGTATTAAAAAAACTAGAGAGGACAAATTTGGTGAATATGCATATGTTTAAGGATGATTGAATGAAAAATAATTCTTCATCATACAAACTGTCAATTTTTTTGTAGAAAAAAATTATTCGTTAAGTGAAAAATATATAATCTTAAAATATTTTGTTTAAATTATTCACTAAAACAATATGCATAATATGATTTAAGTTTACCTGTTAATAATAGTATTAATAATAGTATGTATAACATAATGTTCTTTTATGATAGTATGTGTTACATAAATTAATCTACTATCTATTTTGATTGTAATATAAATAAAAATAGAGTAATTATAAAAATTAAATAAAATAACTAAAACTCTATTTTAAATCTTGAATTTCAAAAAATGTGCACTTATTAAAAAATAATTACAATTAAAATATGCTAAATAAAAGTAAATAGTACATTTACTTTTAAATTTGTTGTCATTAGCCACTCTTATTTATAAAACTAGCATTAATTTTGTACACATGTTACCAAAAATAAATAAATATTATATATAAAAATCATAATTGAAACAAAATTTTACTCAATAGTATTTATAATTGAATTAATTAAAGACCCTTAGTTGAATTTTTATGATAAAAAAGAACAATAGAAATGTAAAACCTATATATTAATAACTATTATTATATGAATATAATGAATAATCTAATTTTTATATTAATGTTGTATTAATAATAACATTATTACCAAAGTAAAAAAATATAAAATATAAAATGGGCAATGTAATTTTTATATACCACATAAATTGATCTTTTTTCAAAGAATTATCAAATAAATGATATACATACTATATTTATATAATAAAATACGTGTACATTTAGATTATTTCATTCATAATTTTTCACTTTTAATTAAGTAATTATATTGGTATTACTTTATAAGAAAAATATTTTGTCATTATTAAATATGAATATAATTTTTTCATTTGCACAAATATGTAGAAAAAAATAAAGAACCATTTCATCTCAATTAATACACCTTACTAAATTTTTTTATGTATTTTACAACACTTAAAAAACTAATTTAGAATAAAAATTGATAAAAGATAACATAAGTTTATAAACTAACATTAATTTTCATTAATAATGGTATCTCTACAAATGAAAAAAAACAAAATAATTGATATGGTTATACTTTATTTTCATAATTTTTTTCCTAAGGAAATTTGATATATATATATATATATATATATATATTATTTTATTTCAAATAATTATATACTTACCAAATTAACAAAAGTGCAATTATATTAGTTTTTAAGATATGACTGTTACAACTTATATTAAATATTAGATATTAATTACAAAAAACACAAATAAAATGATAGGTGAAACATACTAAAAATAACTTAAAAAAAAATAAGTGGGAAAAGATAGGCAATTACATTAATGTAATAGCCTGCAATTATATATATATTTATATAATTCATAAATTAAATGATTCAAATTACTTCTCAAAAGTAAAAAAAAAAAAGGAAAATAAAAGAACTATATAAAATATTGACGAAGATATAAAAATTAATATCAAAATAAAAGTAAAGTATGAAAGAATCACCATTTTATAATTCATATAAATTAAAATTATTTATTTTGTCACATTTAAGATAGCCTTGAAAATTCGTGAACAAAAAATAGTAATGCATGCATGGTAATGTTAGGAGATGCAACAATAATTTATGTTGGATGAGATGAGTACCTTCAATCAACCAATATTGGACAATATATATAGAGAAATGGGTACATTTAATCGATGTTAATGTTTCTAATCTTTTTCAATTAAATTTTATTTTTGAAATAATCACGACTCTAAAGACATTTTCAAACATTTATTTATTTGTTGTGCCATTTTATCCAAATAAAAATATATATCTAAGTAGTATGAAATATTATAGTTGATCAGCATCCACTATGCTGAAAATAGTCGATAATGAAAAATCAAACATAGTTGGTTACTTTTCAATTGACAATAAGAAAAATTATAACTACAAATGATAATTATAAAATATTCGACTTATTTTCAAAGAGCATAACGCAAAAATAAGACATTAAAAAACTATATTATGATGACAATGATAATGATCGTTATTTTTAAGCATAATGACTTATCATTGGATAACAAAATCAAAGACAACATAAATTTCTTTAGCATTTAAAATTTCACAAAAAAAAATAATAATAATAATTTTACTGTGGACTTTCAAACCATTATTTTTTATTTAATTGTCACAGTTTGGTAAAAAGTATTAAACTTTATATGTTATTATTTAATACATTTATTATTGATTATTATAAAATAGACAATTTTTTATTAACTAATAGAATGAAAGTTATATTATACTATTAAATGTTTATTTAATAATAAAAACAATTTTAAGTAAAGAAAAAAAATGATTAATATTACGTGCGTAGCACGTGCATCTTCCTAGTAAATGTAAATGCAAAAGAAAGTAACCATACTCAAGTAAATGTAGTATACATAAAGCCGAGAAAAAACTACCATACGGGCAGCACACAAATGATTAAGCAGTATAAGCATGCACTTCAGTAAATGTAAAAGGGTGGTCAAATTGTGATGCCGTACAAGTTTCTCGGGGAGTCCACTGACGAGACAGAAGCGGGTGTGTTATCATCCTGCGAACAACAGAGATGTTAAACAAAGAGAAAGAAACCTATCTTCCTTCTATAAGAAGATCAGTATTGACTTACAGAATCTGCTGCATCAGAACACTGACTTGCAAAGGATAATTGGTGTTGAAGCACTTTAAAGCTTTTGGATAAAGATGACTGATATTGTAGTTTGTTTTGCATATCTTCGTCTTTTTCCAAAGCACCATCATCATCCTGGATCTGAAAGCAAGAGTTCTACGCATGATGTTCCTCACAGTCACCCATAACAATCTTTATCTGCATGTAAATCAATCAAACCAATAGCTGAAAAGAATATAGTACCAATGAAGCTTGAGCCTTCATATCATCGAGGTTGAAATTCCACCCACTGATCCCACGTTTATATTCATTCTGAAAGAAAAAAAGGGACAAAAAACTCTAAGTAAATTTTATATAAGTGGGGAGTTCACTCTTGCAATCTCAAAAACTCAGTAGTTGATTAGAAGAAACTACAATAGTGCACCATTTTAACGACACTTCAAGGTCCTAGAGTCATACAACCATTTCTCAATTCTGTAAGTTTTTCAAATTTACTTACCCATAACTGTCTCCACTTGTAAGTTGTACTAAAATACGTAAAAGCATGATTACAATTTCATGCTTGATAGCGGCTCTGAGATCTTTAAAAATAAAGACTTGTAGAGAACTTACAACTACAGATTTTAAGGTCAGTGTTTAGATATAATTTCTATAAAGCAAAATCTAAAATAGTGAATGAACAGTAATTTTGTTAATCTCATTTTCCAGATGTGTAAGGCTGAAGATATGAAATCTTAGTAAAGCCTTGGAATATAAGCATCAATTAAGGTATCTATCTAAAAGGATCTGACCTACCACTGACGTGAGAGTTTTGTTTAATGAGTGATGGTGGAAATAAGAGAAAATATGTCTGAAGGAGTGAGGCAGGCACGGATGTCAAAAGCTTCAGGTAATTGGAAGTTTCTACATCATCCAACTATGTTGCGGGTTTCAGGTTCATGAATCAGAAATTTATATAAACATCGTAAGTTTTATTGCACATATTTTGATAGGAGCCCAAAATATTATCTACAGTCCTAAGAGGTTCCAGTTTCAATCAAACAGCAACAAAAACTAAGATAAAAGGACAGTGCGTCACTTGAAAACTATTTTCCTTGCAAAAACAGAGTTAAATTCATCGTTTCCTATGTGTAAACAATACAATGTTCGTGAAGAACATCTAACAAAAAAATCTGATGTCTTGTACACTGGATATATCATATTTTTACATCAGTTTCGACATGTTTGCTAAAATGGCTAATATAAGGCTTCAGTGCCCACCAGATAAGTTCAGTACATAAATTAAGACAAAAAAAATAGGATGCCAGGTAAATATTATTGTTCAAATCTGTACATAATTCGGAAATCAGTTTACCAAAAATGATATAGCTTAAAAGGTATTCACTTGAGCATAATAAGTATCAGAATGCTTTTTCGGATATGAAACAAACCTGGGATATCTCCTCTTTCTCTCCATCTGGCATTTTCTTTTGTGCAAGCATGTCCTCCTCCTTTCTCTAAATTAAATTCATAACATTTTATTAGACAAGAAACCATTATAGAGAGAATACTTAAGCTTGTATTTTATTCAGCCATATAGACAGGAAAAGCAAAACCTTCAATGCTTGAAGACGGTCACCAAGAGCTGGCAGCCCTTCCAGAAGAGTTCTAGCAATATAATCGTTTGATCTAGCTTGCTTGAAAAAGGAATGCTTCAACAATTTTTTTGCAGTTGGCCTTTTTGAAGGATCCTTCACCAAACAGCTAGCAATCATCTGCTTAAAGGACTAAAGAGACCAAATATGACAATATCAGTATCTCAACCAAACAATTTTGTTATGTCAGTACTTGTTCGATCTAACATACCTTTGAGAATTTTTTGTCCCTCTCATAATCAAGACCAGGTGGCGCATTTTGCAAAGTCATAAGCAATACCTAAAGAAGTATAACGCATAGGAAATAAGCTCGGAAAATCGTAACTACAAGAGCTTCCCCATTATGGTGAAAAAAAGGAAGATCATTGTTATCTGTAAAAACCTTCATCGGAGGATACTTCGAGAAAGGGGCATGGCCATGTGCAAGTTCCAGAGCAGTTATGCCAAAAGACCATATATCAGCTCTACGAAAATATCAAACAGCTAGTTCAGAAAAATGATCCAGAAATCGTAGGTAGAAAGAAAAGAATCTGGAACAGATGAACATACTTGAAATCATAACCATTCACTTGCTCCATGACCTCAGGTGCCATCCTATAAAACAGAAACAAGCCTTGTTATAGGCCCACCTTATGAATTTAATTACTAGAGCCAGCATCTGTTAGGACCATTCAAACATCAGAGTTTTTTAAAATTGAGATTTTCACTCACCTATATATGCAATTTGTTTATTTATCTTCATATATTTACGTTTCTCTCACAGACCTTGCATTAATAGGACTGATTTTGAACTCAATGGTTGGTAGAAAATTAAAGAAATGCAGAAAGTACTTCAAGAATGCAACCATACCAGCAGGGGGTGCCCACAAATGTATTCCTCATGCGCTGCCGGTCACCTGCATCAAACAAGTAGGCGGAAACACCAAAATCCCCCAGTTTGATTCCACCACGGGAATCAATCAGAACATTACCAGCCTGGATGTAACCAAACAACGGAATATTAAAGATTAAGATGATAAGCATAAAAACACTCACACACACAAAGAAATATGTATAATACTATTCTGCGCTTCATTTTAGTGCAAAGGAATGGAAACATGTTATAAATGTTAGATATGCTCGGTTGGAACTTATCCCTGTAGTAGGCTCTGCAGATTAACAAAGTATGGAGGACTCTAATATTTTATTCATGTTTAAGTAATGTTTGATTTAAGAAACTAGAAAAAGGGAACAATGTCAACTATAAAATAAAGAAATAAATAAGAAAAGAGGTTGGACGATGAATACATTTTTCAATTATCGTAAGGAAAATACATAGGATTTCGTCACTCAAGAAGCATGTATGACTGACAAGAATATTGATTAAGAATTGTCGACCATGACAGTCACTTAGAGACTATTTACTCACTTTGACATCACGATGAATATGTCCATGTTGGTGAAGGTAATCCAAGCCCTTCAACACGTCCCGCAAAATTGTAGCAATGACAACCTCCTCGAAACCATCTGGGTGTGCAGCCTTCAAGATGTGAAGACAAGAACCTCCAGCCATGTAAGGCATCACAACCCAAAGATTGTGATCATTAACGAACGAGCAGTGTGACTTAAGAACATTAGGATGGTCAACAAGGACCATTGTCTGTGCTTCCCGTGAAATGTTATTCTGGGTGCAAAATTCAACAGCTAAATCAGTCTCTCATTTACAAGGATATATGGATTTCAGAATCAGACAAAATTAAATCTCGACATAGAAAGCATACAATATTTCACTATTGAATTTGCCAATAACTGAATCACTAGTTTAACTAACTTGTCTTCTGTTCAGATCATATCGAAACCTAAGCATCATCGTTATAAACCTAAGCTTGGCAATGCCGGTTGAAACAAAGAGTTTCCAAAAAACCACATAATAAATCAACAGTCCACCCATATTCCAACATTCTTCAGAAATCCAATAATCACAAAATCAAATGACATGACACTTCCTCCCGCAAATGGGGAGAAAAACAAAATCCACAAATTCCCCCACATGCATGTACATATTCATTAGTACTCGAGCAGGGAGAGGTTTACCAGATCGCTGTTATTGCGCTCAAAGTCGAGAATTTTAATGGCGACGACCTCATCGAGTGGGTTGCAGAGGGCGCGGTGAACAGCCGCGCTGACTCCCGTCCCGACCTCCTCATACAGAGTATAAAACTCAACCCCAATCGGGTACTTCTTCCTCTCCTCCATTTCCCTCGAAACCTCAATCC